TTTGATTCAAGTAACATACTGATAGTTTCACTGTGTTTTTTCTGTAAGGCTCTAATATTGCGACTTGTATTCTGTAAAACTTCCCTCTCTTTATCAATTGTTGGATAATTTAGGTTAACACTAGGTACTGCAGTTGTTTTTAATTTACGACGCAAAGGCAAACCTATAAAAAAAAACATATTTATTTTAAGCAGTAAATTAAAAGAATAAGTTTTTCCCTATCAAGACCACTAAAAAAGCCGAGTGTAGAAATTTAATTTTTTTCAATTGACTTCTTCAATTTTTAGGCAATTTTTATTACACTTCAGCAGATTCTATATTTATTCAGCTTTGTTCAGTAATAAATATTGAGTCCTACACAGTAATAAATATTGAGTCCTCCTAAAGAACAACTATTATATAGCAAAATACGTAATGTGGTTTTGTAAACTGTCTAGTGAAAATCTGAAAGGGTTATTTGAATAAGCTTCCATAAAATCTTAATTCTGATAGGAGCGACAAAATTGGTGGCAATTATTTATAAGCTATGCTCAGTTTATTGAAGCCATTATTAATAGCCCGTTTTTTTGAAGCGATATCGCTTTTCAAATTCCTCATTAGAAATCATTTCTAACAAATATTGTACATCTCGTGTGTACCGTTTTGGAAAACTTTCTTCAATATCATATGTCACATGCATATGTGAATTCAAATCTCCCCCTCCTCCACTCCACAGGAAAACACAAATGTGTACAGACAACTCGCTGAAGATGGTCTTTGCTTAGTCCAGCGAAACGTCCAAAATTTCCTTTGCACGCATGCTTAATTTAACGCCTCACCAGTGCCACGCCAACCTTGTTTTGTGATGATCTTCAACAAACCGAAGCTTTTGTTCGAAGGGAATTGACAATGTTTCGTGGTGAAATTCATTAGTTCTGACTTCCATTGTCTAATATGATATAAAATAATTTGAAATCCCTGAAAGAATCAATAAAATTGAAATGAATAGCTGAAAATAACAATTATACTAAGCAAAAAAAGCCTTTACACCAACCTTCCTGTCGAAGAAGCACTTCAAATCCTACAGAGGAAGCTATCCGAAGACGGGGACCTGGAAGATAAGAACGTACTTACCTATAGAAATAATTATGTGTACGAAACTGTTATTTCCAACTGAAGGACGAATTCTTTACACAAGATGAGGGACTGCCAATGGCATCGCCACTTTCACCAGTTATAGCCAACATATGTATGGAGTGGTTTGAAACTCTAGCCATTGAACAAGCCCACAAGAAACCCCGAGTCTGGTTGAGATACGTTGATGACACCTTCATAATATAGAACTATGAGTATACAGAACTAGACATCTTCCTGAAGCACATCACCAGCGTAAGACCTTCCATCACTTTCACAATCGAGAAGGAAGTCCACAACGAATTGCCATTCTTAGACGTATTGGTGAAGAGAACCGACACTAAGTGAGAAACATCTGTATACCAAAAACCCACTCACACGGGAGTGGGTTTTTGGATTCGTGGATGGATGGATTCGTGAACCACGAATCCATCCATCATCAGTCGACTAAAAGAGGAATCATCAAAACTCTAGTAGGAAGGTCTCGAGAAAGAACTAGGCATCATCAAAAATGATCTTCAACGGAACGATTACTCCAAAGTGATGGTGGAACAGACTTTGGCAGCAAGACAGCAGGAGCCTCGCAAGGAAGAGAAACCGTCACAACCAGTACTTGCACTTCCCTACATCAGAGGATTGTCGGAAAGGATAAGAAGAATCGAGCCCAAGTACAACATCAGAACCTGCTTCAGATCCGGAAACACTATCCGTAGCAGCCTCACGAAAAACAGGCCACCAAACGCGGTCTGCGATTCCAATAATTGCATTTATCGGATACCGTGCGAGTGTAGAAAATCCTATATCGGTGAAACTAAAAGGCCTTTGAATGTTCGCATTGCCAAGCACAAGAAACACATAGCAAGGAGAAACCACCTTAATATAATTGTTTTTTTCTCTGACGCTTGTCGGATATAATCCAACGCCCTTCGTGGTGTTAGCCAGGGGAGTAGTTGTTTTCTGATAGGCGTCAGTGCATTCAACCTACTATGTAGGTATATCCGAGACTGGCTTGAACGTTTAAAATTCATTTCTTTAGATTTAAAGTAAATTGAAAAAGTTATATTTTTGGGAAAGAAAGTTTTTAGCTTTCTACTACTGCATCTTGAGTTACTTCTTTTTGAAGTTTATTGCTTCCTTCCTTCCTTTGAAAGATTCCCACATCAAGGTGAAATAGTAGAAAGCCAAAACCTTCCTTTCCAAAAAATTATAACAGTATCAAATCATAATTCTCGTCCATTTCATTCAATTATTAAGTACATACCTAGCATCGTGCTTTTATCATACTGCTTTTCACCATTCATTAGTACTTTTTATCCTTCACCCATTCGCTAGCACAAGGGACAGCAGAATACGACTAAAATCAATCAATCTAAGAGGACTAGAAGTTGTGGCTTACAATATGACTTCTCATCAGACCAAGCTGTAACCACTAATTCGAGCTGACCAAATGTGTCTACATGTAAACGAAGGCCATGAATGCTTAGAGAGTTTTAATAAGTATTTCAAGAAGAAATAATAACTTTTATCAATTGTAGATCACAACTTACACCCATAAGGACGATAATAATAAATGGATTATCAAAAAATACAATTCTGAAGTAACGACTGAAGAAGTTGAAATTGTTCGTAATGGTGATCTGGTTCGTCTTGAACATGTTTCCACCAAGCGCAATCTCCATTCCCATAAAGATCAGGCTCCAATCACCAGAAAACATTACCAGGTGAGTGAAAAGCAGTAGTTAGTTAGTGTCGGATTGAATACCATTCACCAAACGTAGTTTAATTTTTTTCATTGAATAATCATATACTTGTTGAAGGGGGTGGTCAAACTTCACGTCTTCTCACGATGAAGAGGTACAGTAGATATAATAGAATCAAATTTGAATGATCTCCGTGATAAAAAATATTATGAAAATATAGGATAAAAGTATGTTTTTAAAAAATATTTACAATCTATTCTTGCGTGTCTAATATGCAATTAAACACACTTCCGATACGAGTAATATCTTTTTTTATAGGTGACAGGATATGGTGAAAAGGGTATAGGTGATGCCAATGACGTTTGGCGGATATCTATAATGGGTGCTAATGATGGTACCGAGGTAACGGCAGTGACCACCAAATTGAGATTTGTCCATTATTTGCAATCGTGTTTGCTGACCACTACTGGTAAACAACTACCAAAGTGGGGTTACGAGCAGCAGGAGGTGACTTGCAACCCAAATCTTCGAGATCCAAACGGCGTTTGGAATGTTGAAGAGAATTTTTTCGAGAAATGTTAGATGGTGTCTCTTCGTTTTGAATTTTCATTATTGATTTATTTTATTTTTCTAGTGCCCAATGTTAGTTTTGAAGTATATGCTCCAACTTTTATAGAACGATTTTTGGAATCTCATGCAGTGATGCTACAAGGAAATGCTGGTTTGAAACCAAAAGAAGGAGAGGTTACTTCGAGGCCTTGGCAATGGCCCATCAATTACAAGGTGATTATACTTCTTTTGCCAGACCTCATATTAATTTTTTTTATGTGGTTGGTAGATAAAATAAGAAATGTATGATATCTCTCTAAAAGTGAACTATGGTTATTGTACTGAATTATATTATACTATCTTAAGCAGTATACTGTGTATACCAGGACGCTTCTAAATCACGGGCAATAAAGAGCATAATGTGCTCTGAATCAGCTGTCAAAATTCTAAATCTATGGTAACGGAACTAGCTCAGGAAATAGATCAGTAAAACACATATTGAGCAAGTACACCCGGTTATGAAAACATTTATAAAGGAACCTATGGACCGTCTGACTAAAAACGAAGAACTGCTTCAGTAAGGCAGGGATTGGTTTAGAAGAATAGCAGGGCACTATCCATTTAGAGAGCACTTATAGGGTTGTATTAAGAAGACCTCAGCTGCAGGCGAATCAACAAAGGGATAGAGATAGCTCATCGTGTTATATGCAAGATATACTTAACACAGGAAATACTCGTAAGTAATTCATGTCCGCAAAATAAAACAAACATCCAACAGACGACTTGTACAATTCAGTACCGGTAACAAGATTATTGGAATAAGAGCCATTGAAAAATGGAAGAAGAAATGCAATAAGGCCATGGGACTATAGAGCAGCAGAGAAGAAAATAGTTTTCACAGTCTAAAGTTGACTTACTGACTGTTTTTGTTCCATACTACGGACGAAGATATCCTTTACATCTTATTGAAAGTCAAAATATTGATGAATGGAACTGGTCAATCATTTATAAAAATTCATATCAAAACTTACTAATACACTTTTGGCTTTCTATTTATCTACCTACTTTCATAAAAACATTGATCTACACGAAAGAAATAGTACTTTAGGACCACTATTTTTAAATGAACGAGAGGGGTTTTTCTTCCAGTTTGTGTGTATGTAGTATCCTCTGTTGGACTACCAGTGATAATTATGCAAACTAACTCTTCAGTTCTGCACTGATAGCAGACAAGCCCTATTAGCCTTGAACAGACAACATATAACCTCAGGGCTAGTTAGGTTAGGTTAGGTCCAAAGTGAGTGGGTCTATTCGACCCTCCACCGCAACCCGCAAGGGTTTATTGTGGCTCACACCTATTCTCACTCGGTCAAACAAACCCAGCTTCCTAACAAAGCCGGTTAGTTTGTATGGTGAGTGGTGTTTCAGGTCAGATGGTAAGAGTTCGGCTCTGCCGAACTCTAAAGACCTGATTCGGTCCCCAGCGGGGCAGGCACAAAGTATATGCTCTATTAATGAGGTAGTCGGATAGTCAAGTTGCAAGATTCCCACCTTGATACCCACGATAGCCTTCCCATGTGAGGGTTTTTGCACGTCAGCGCCACCTTACGATGCCTTGGATTCAACCGTGCAGGGCTTTTTCGCCTCTGGTTTTGGTGAAACCTCACTTGAGCGCAAACGTTTGCTAACCTGCTCATGGGGAGTTAGTTCCCCCACCTGAGACAGATTCTGCAGAGGTCCGTTGGAGTCGTAAACTCGACATCCATCTCCTCTGTAGACTCGCTCCTGAACTAAATTTACAGGGAGGTCAGTTGAAGTCGTTAACTCGACATCTATCTCCTCTGTAGACTCGCTCCTGGATTAAATTTTACAGGAAGATCAGTTGGAGTCGTAAACTCGACATCCATCTCCTCTGTAGACTCGCTCCTGGATTAAATTTCACAGGAAGATCAGTTGGAGTCGTAAATTCGACATCCATCTCCTCTGTAGACTCGCTTCTGATCTAAGTTTACAGGGAGGTCCTCAGGGCTAGTACTAGAGTGTCACCAAGATTTAGCTAAAGCCTCAGTAGATAATAACATTATCCTGAAGTGGGTTAAAGGGCACGACAGGAGTAAAGGTAATCGCATTGCATAATCTTTAGCCAAAGAAGCGGCTGGACTAAGAATTTTGAAACCCAGTGACACCTACGGCTTGATGACTTTGACAATTGCGGAATTAACCAAATGTTACACCCATGCTCAATCCCTGAGAAGCTGGCGCCGAAGAAATATCTGGCGATGACCAGGAAAAATCTAGGCTTAACAATAGAATTTCTGACTGGCCACTGTCAACTAAGGAAACACCTCCATAATATGGGGCTAGTGGACACACCTCTATGCAGGATGTGTGAACAGGAAGATGAGACTGTCAGGCATGTCCTATGCGAGTGCCCCGAGTTATCGTCAATAAGAGAGTGTGTGTTCGGCGAGTCTTGGCCTTTACTTGCCGATATAAAGGAGATGTCTCCAAGATACCTGTCCACTTTCCTGGAAAGGACAGGATGGACGATGACCAAGGAGAACAACTCCTTGGGAGGATGTACAATGGGTCACATGTGGCCTAAGTGCTGTGGGCTTACACTCACCCTCCCTACTCTATAGATACAGAAAGTAACTGTTCCATTCGACGCAAAAGTTGCCTTCTCTGTCAATTAAATCCTGTAGAGAAATTAATTTTATCTCTCGCCAAAATGAAAATCCTACTCGAATATCGACATTTCTTCGTTTAAAAGTTTGTAGAAACTTTGGTTTATAGGGATGGAAATTATTTTTATGCAAAATTCTTTCCACAGAGTCTCTGCCACCCCCAACAATTTCGATAATAATCCCAATATTAGTGTTTTCATTATGATAATGTGGTTTCTAAAAAGATTGTTCCACGGATATATGGTGAATATTTCTAACTTGATGCCGGTGATTAAAAATACAAGCAACATCTCAATATGGCACATTCTTACCACATAAAAGATGGATTTCCACTTTGTCTTGTGTGTATAACATTATATATAAAACTTATTTGTCATTTGATTTATTAAACATAATGATTTGAGATTAATCAAAACTTGAAGTTTGTTTCAGAAGCCCACTAAGAGAAAATTTTATTTTGATTCGATCAATTATCCTATCTTCTACCACAGATGTTGCAATAGTCTTGTATTGTTTGAAATCAGGAAATTTTTTATCATGTTCAGTCCAAATTGCTGAAACGAAGGACTTTTGCATAGTTATGCAACTGTAGGTCATGGTTTAGTTCACAGAAAAGCATGATATTGCAGATTTGTTTGTAACTGAATTTTTTTTTCAAAAAATAATCAAACTGCATAAAAATCTATTGAAGAAAGAATTACGAATGCCCTGAGAACGAAGAGAAACTCATTTACTAAAATCTGACATATTGATGTACATTATACTGAAAGTCCGAATCTTTTTCACAAACTTCAAAAAAATAAAAAAAATGTAAAAAAATGGAAGTGAGTGGGTGAGAGTTCATATTTAGAAAAAAAAAACATAAAATTGGAAACTGAGCAACTTTTCTTTGGATCCTTAAAAATTTTCTAGAAAAATCTGATTTTTATCAAATGCCAATGTAAATGTCAACTTTGACAGGTTCAGATGTGTCCGTGACGAATGAAAGAGGCTATTTTTCACTCCTTTCTCAAGCACACATTCCACATCTACTGTGAAATCAAATTTTGAATAAACCTATTGATGAAGAAACTTCTATATGTTGCGAACATTATGTACGACACTGTATATAATAGTATAGGTATACAGAGCGATATATAGTTTTTGATTTTCAAGTACTATGTAATTTTTGAAAAGGGTTTTACTGTTCCATCTAACGGTATACATTTATTTCTATTTTCTATGTTAGTTTCGAAATGTAGTAAAATAAAATACGTTACAATATCGCAATTAGAGAATTAAGCATCTAATTTAATGTGTATGGTTTTTTTCAGGGACAATTTTTTTCCGGGTCTCATTACAGAATATATCTCCTTGGAAATCCGATCATTTGGTGGGGCAACTTGGTATTTATTTTGGTATTTTTGATGGTGTTCATCATAAATTCCGTGAAAATGCAAAGAGGATACATCAGGTCATTGGCAGGTATAAATTGAAACACCAGATTTCGTAGTTCAATATATCAACAGCAGCTATTGAGTTTTGTCATTATTTTCCGCAGATATCCACAAGAAAAAACTAGTTGCCTGTACGTGGCTCTTTTTGGGATGGATGTTACACTATATACCATTTTGGGCTATGGGACGAGTTCTTTACTTTCACCATTATTTTCCTGCCCTACTCTTCAGTTCTATGATTACAGGTCAGCAGGAAAAATAATTTCGAATATAAAATAAATAATGTTTTTTACAGGAATATTGATAGACTTTATGCTGATGGAAATAACAAAATCGTTTAATGAAGAAAATGCCAGACTTTTCTATCATATCATGGTAGGCCTGGTATTATCAACCATAGCTTATAGCTTTTATTTATTCGCTCCTTTGGCATATGGCATGAGTGGGCCGTCTGCTAATGAGCCCAATTCGACCATGTTTGGACTACGATGGGTAATTTTTTCACTACTTTCAAAATACATTTTCAATCTGACATCATTACGAAAAAAAATTTTACTTAGAAACTTGTTTCACTGATAATATAATCAATGGTAATGTTTGTGCATTATATTACATGTTCTATTCGGAAAAACTCTTTGGAATTAGTTAACGTAAAATAACGTTATCTTTTCATTGTGCAAAATATGGAGAAAGCGATGCAAAATTAATAGTATTTCATCAATTTTTATTTTACTCTTACCAACTGCCAGCTTACCCATTTTTCAAAAACTGATGCACCAAGCACCCTAAATCATTTGTTAAAACTATTTTTTTTTAATTGTGTTGTGTTATGAATGCTATATTTATAATAATGATATATTTATAATAAAGATGAATGAATTGTTTATTTGAATTGAAGGGGTTATATTTTTAGGAGTGATTAATTTTTTGGGAAAGAAAGTTTTTGGCTTTCTACTACTCCATCTTGATACAAAAAAATGTGGGAATCTTCCAAAGAAAGGAAGAAAGTAATCAATTCGAAAATAAGTAACTCTATACATGGATGTGTAGATCATGCAAAGAAGTAACTTTCAGACACAAACTGAAAGAAAGTCCTCCTGAAACAGCTACTTTCATATAAACATTGAATTATACGAAAGAAAAAAANCTTTCTTCCTTTCTTTGGAAGATTCCCCCATTTTTTTGTATCAAGTAGTAGAAAGCCAAAAACTTTCTCTCCCAAAGAATTGTTTATATTGTTAAACTGCTAAACAAATGGAGTAGTTGTTTATGTTTTTGTCATTTTTCAAGTGATGTTATATTTTTCTGTATTTCATACAACTGTCATATTTCATATACCTACGACTGTCAATATATCCATATATTAAGAGATTAAGATCAGTGACCTGATTGTTTGATATATTAACTCAATAATTCCTGAGAACCTGTTTCCGTGAACCATTGAATCGAGTAAAAATGAAACACAAAAAGCTTATTGGAAGAAATTACCCCCAATGAAAATTTCAAACGAAATGCACTCTCCGAGCCAAAGGCAAATTTGACATTACAAAAGCAACCGCTGTGGAAACCCAGATAGACATTTTTTTAAACTCCAATGAATTTTTGAATAACGCTAATTCTGTTTATTAGAAGAAATTGGAAATGAACAAAATGTTGGTCCATGAATTCACCACATAAGCTAGATCCAAATTATTCAATGGCCCAATACATTGCAGAGATATAAGTGGGGGAGTTCAGCAAAATTATCAGTGATGCAGCCCTTGACAAGTTTGAGTACACGTCTAAAATTTCGGAATTTGCGACAAGCATGCGACAGCATTCAATAATGATAATAATAATATTTAACGTTTTTATTATTTTCACATATTAGATAATTAATGGAATGAATATTTCTCAACACATAACAGGTAAGAACCTCCTACATGGGTGATAAAACTACTATAATTTTCCACACAACCTTCACAAAGTCTCTGTAATGATCATACATATAGATAATGTGCTTCATTAAAAAAAAACATGAAAAACATGTTTCGGATGAAACAATAAACATAAAAGTTGAAATATTTTGCTGAAAAATTAGGTTGGATTCCTCATGTGGAAGCACTGAGGACAAAGCTGGCAAATTCTACGTTTCTTCTCAAGACAGTTTAGGAACGTTATCAATGCATCATCAATCAAAACTGTATATTTTTTTTGTTTCATTCTAAACTGCACTATGGAGTTATTTTATGGAAAAACTCCACTCTATTAGTATTTTCAGACAGAAGAGGAATGCTCTTAGAATATTGACTAATGCATCTTCTTGGAAACATTGCAAACCTCTTCTGAACATGGTATATTACTATGTTGTCCCTGCCAATTCTGTTTATTTTCAATGTGCTACAAGTTGTCCACAAATCCTCTAATACCCTAAGGACTTGGAGTGATATTCACAAATACAACACTAGAGGCGCTCTGCAAATTCACACAACCTGCTTCAAACTTTCTGTATTAATAAATAATACTTACGATATCAATTTGAACAACATACTTTTTCAACAAGTGAAGAATCTAAGTTTAAATGAATTCCATATATTATACACAATATTTTGTACTTTTTTCCATCTCATTCATCCATCTTTTTTTCATACCTACTCATTTTTAAACTGTTCAATTTTCAGTGTGCTGTCATTTCTAAAAAGTTTTGAAAATAAATTTTATTTTCCTATGGAGAAATCATGCAAAGTAAAGTATCATCTCTGGAAAGATGCCATAAAAGAACTGGATGATTTAGAAAAGGAAGGTACCTGGCAGTCAACTAAATCACCTCCAATGAAGAAGCGATTGGTTCTTTTTAAAGTTAAAAGTCGCTCGGCTGAAAATATATCTTGTTACAATTTTTTTCACAAAAGCAAGGTGTTTACTACAATAAGATTTCCACACCCACATCGAATCTTATAACTATTGCTATCAACCATAAATGTGATATGCAGTTCGATATTAAAAATCCCTACTGATGGGTTATAAACTGTAAGGACCAATACTCTCAAAAAGTTAATTTATGATATGTGGTATTTTAGACAACAGAATAATTGGACAGTTTTTCTTCAACAAGACCATTAACGCTGAACGACTATTGATTTTTTTTGGTAATGAATTATGGGAAATCATTGAACATCTTTCAGTTAGTTCATAATTCTTGGATGGTTCGAGAGTGGTTCAACGAACATTTTCCATTACGTTGGATTGGTAGAAATAGCTCATATGAACAATGGCCTCCTCGCTCTCCTGCCATAACTCCAATGAATTTTAACTTGTGTAAATCCTACTCTTGTCAAGAGTAGGATTTACAAGTCTAGACCACGAAATTGACAAGAACTGTGAGAGAATACGGCAAGCCTGTCGTGAAATGAGTATTCAAGAACTTGGGAGAGTGACCAATAATTATAAAAAAGAAAAATGTATCAGAATCAAGGGCGGGTCAATTGAGAGGGACAATATTTGGAACTGACTTCTAATATTAGCGTAATATCATTTCTTTTTGAATTTGCTTCATTAATTGTTATTTAATTGGTAAAAGCTTGGCTTAAAGGCTCTGTGCGCCCAAAGTGGAAAACTCTACTTTCATAGGAATGTAGGTTTTCACGACTGGCGTCAATGTTTTGATTGGTTTTCGGGTTTTGCCGTGCTCTTCTATGGTTATAATCTCCAAAGGTTTCAACTGCAACTGCAGCTGTCATTTTCAGTGACATGGTCGAAATACCCTTCCTAACTTGTGCCAAATCTTTCATACATATGTTCTCTCTTCCTTTCTGTTGAAGTTCTCTTGATGTTTGTGTATTTCTATGTATTTTCTATTGTACCAGAATGTATTTTCTAAATACATTCTGGTTGAATGATGAATCGACGTTGCTAGACTCTCGGTATTTTCGAATAGGTTCTTGTGTTTCCCGTCGGACAGTGCATGCTCAGCGACTGCAGACTTTTCGGTCTGTCCCAATCGGCAACTCCGCTTGTCCTCGACTAGGCAGACACCAATGCTTCTTTTCGTCTGACCTATATAGACTTTACCACAGTTACATGGAATCCTGTGAACTACCACTGATTTGAGTGGGTCTCTGCTGATCTCAGATACTCCGATATTGTCTTCGTTTGTTTGAAGACGGTGTAATATTTTTCCTTTAGAATTTTCCCGATTCGGTTGGTGATACCTTCTATGTATGGCAGATATATAGTGCCTTGGGGTTGATATACACTGATGTTTCTCTTCTCCCTTGGACGCGTGTATTATGTTTTTCTGTCGTAGCCGTTCGTTTGAAACACAGTTTTTAGGTGTTTTATTTCGTCGTCGACGTACCTTTCTTCACATATTCGCAAAGCTCTGTTCACTAGGGTGTTGATGACAGTCCGTTACTGTTTTGGATGATGGTTGGATCCATTATGAAGGTATCGACCTGTGTGTGCTTTTTTCCTGTACACCTTATGGCCTAGTTGATTATCTTCCTTGATGACTTAAACATCAATGAATGGGATTTGGAGGTTTTCTGCTTCTAATTCCATGATGAACTGGATTTTTGGATGAAAGCTATTCAGATGATTTAGGAAGTTCTGAAGTTCTTCTTTTCTATGGCTCCAAACAACGAACGCGTCTACTTTTTACTAGCTCAAGGCTGCATTATATAAAATTAACGAGCTCAATACACTACGGTATGTCCATCACAATTGTAATTTGTAATGCAAATAACTCACATTTATATACCTACAACATTCAACCGACTTTCACTGCCAAACGAAAACTGTAGGTTTTCACAGACGGTATCTAACAAATTGTCAGAGGTTTCCAGATTTATTAGCCGTGGTCTGCAGATTTTTATATCTGACGTTTCGTCTGCTAGGCCATGCGGCAATGGTCGAAGTGATCTACTTTGCTGTAATGCGCAAACTGAAAACGGTCTCGGTGCGTCTGTACTTATAATGGGACGAAATATCGGACGGCCGAATGCTCTTGTACCATGCTCGGTATCCATGTCTTGTTGATTTTCAAGCTCTCGTCTTAACGGTTGAAATTATTCTTATGTTTATGTATTTCTACGGCCTCTCTGAATAGTCTCGGATACTACTCCCTGGTTTCATCAGGAACTTGCGTGCGTTCGAAGGCAGTGTCATAACTGTCCTCTGAGAAAGCTTGTCTGCAACTGCCCATTTATCTGTTTGGAAATAGCGGCACAGTAGAAAAGACCGGCAACTTTTTTTATCCTCAGTCAAACTCTTTGTGGATACGATGTAGGACGAACCACAACTACACGGTATTCTATATACTTCTAGGGTACTTAACGGTTTACTCAGCTAGCTGACCCCGGGGTTTCAATGCGTTTAGTGTGTGTGGAAAGCTTGGCTTAAGCAATTACGTTCAATTAGTGAATTTTATATGCACGCCTAGCAATCATCAGCTGTAAAAGTACGCTTAAAGGTAAACCCTCTTACTTGGCGGCACAAAACCTTTGAGCCAAGCTTTTTTGAACCTAACTTAGCTACACGGAACCCTCAGAAAATTTGTAGTTTCCAGAACGATCCAGAAATAACAGAGGAATAGGAAATAAAACTTGGGATTGGTAAACTGAAGGCCATATTTGAGTTTTGTAGTAAATATTCCGAATGAATCAACGGGACATTCAGTCAAACACATACACATACATAATGTTTAGTCAAACATAAAGCGGAGTTTTTTGGAAATACTACTCTGGCAACACCGATAAGTAGTTAACTGTCAACGTGAGTTATTCAGTTTTTAATAGTTTTGAATTGCATGAAAAACTCAAAATGAGAAACTATTCTACATTTGAATTTGAGTTTTTTAAAGCTCAAGTATATTTTTACAAGATTTTTAAATAGTGGATCAGAAACTGTCAAAATGCAATGTTGCCAATGTAATTTAATTAGGTATATTCGGCTCGACATTTACAATATGAATTCATGATTATCATTCAACCCTTTTGTTGAATGATAATAAGGGCTTTATTTTCAAACCAGGTGAAACATCGAGAAGAAAATTGGAAGTGTCTGTTTTGAAAGTGAAATAGAGAGAGAAAAAGAGACAGCAGATTTTCTCTAACTGAGTTCACCTGATATGATAATAAGGTTCCAGATAGATATCTATATTTTTTCAACAATGTGTGGCGATTTCACACAGTGGGATGTAGAGTTTTCATTTTACTTGAATTTCTAGAAGAAAAACAAGCATTTTTCAGAGAGTATGACAACACTGGAGATTCCCTGGTTCGTGATAGCATAGCAACAATGTCCGGAGCGGTGTGTTTTTTAACCCTTGTGTAATTATTGTCAATTTATGCATTGATAACTACTTTATTTTCGTTTTTTCACGACTTTTTTTAAAACACAATCGATTTTAATGCATAGTTATTTCCAGTAGTAATGTGTTGTGAACTATAAGAAAATTGCGGAGGACAGTAACGGAGTTTGTTACTTGATGCCGTGGCCATTCATATTTTGTCAATTTATTACAAGATTTAGGAGTGTGTGAACCTCTGCCGTACTATTACGGTACTGTGATAGTGTTAAAAAATGGTTAGTACCCATTTCTATGAACCTAAAGTGAATCCTGATTCGACTGTCAAATAGGTTAGTGTTTATCCCATCTATTGTCAATGACAGTTTTTAATTTTTTTTGCAGGACACGAAAAACAAATCCATAGGAAACGGTGGTAGTGATGCGGAGGTAGGCTATTTCTCACTGTCCAACTTTATTTCATATTAAGTTTACATTACGTTCTATTTTTAGTCCAGGAATCTGTTAGAATAATTCATGCATTTTGTGTTGAGGATTCGAGTCGTTTATGATTATTTTCAAAATAATACGTACATATTTTCACCTCAGTGTATTGTGCACGTTTTCAATTAATTTAATTTGTTACTTTCTTAAGTGAATCTAAAGTTGAAAAACAGATTTCCCAAATGAAAATTTGAAACTGATTTTATTTAAAGTCAGAAACTATCTACGCATTTGATAGGGTCATAATATAGTTGTAACCTAAAACCACTTGTCAAATGCCAGTGTTGTAGTAAATACTTTTATAACCAGCTCATTTTCCTCATAATTTCATTAGTGATTTGTCAGTTTGGTTAGGGAATACAACTAACTTATCACTTTCTCAAACAACATTCTGTTGTTTTTAGTTATTATTTAATTATAGTGCACCTTTTATTACTGTTGGTCATTTGTTTTCCATTAAAGCAACGCCACCACTGCCTAATAAACATTTTGTTTGTTTTATATTTATCCTTCCATCAGTGACTTAGTCTGCCTTTGCACATTAACTGAAAAGAATTGTTAACCAGTGCAATTTGTAAATAACGATTTTAATGGGTTGTTTTTAAGAATTGCACTTTATTTTTTTTGTGATTCTTCAGAAGATAAAAATAAAAATGGCTTTGAGTGGTATCTTCCGAAGACGTAAAAAAGGAGATGAGGAATTGGTAACTTGGAAAATATCATCAGTTAAAAGCTATCGTTAAAATATTCATCCAAAGTATAATAGGGTCTATCAGATAGAAATTGTTTGACTAACTTCCTGAATTGAAGGTCATTTATATTGGCAGATCTTATGACCATAGGCAAATGATTGTACATTTTTCCACCATTGTAAAATTTGGAGTCTCTGGTAATGTTTTTAGTTGGCACAGTGAGTTTCAGAGTGTGTCTGCAGTTTCGAATGTTATAATGGAAAGAGGATGCAGCAAAATTTAATATATGCTTATTCATGAAACACAGATTCCAGTATAAATAATGCAGTTACCGTTAGAATATTATGTTTTTTGAAGAAGGTTCTACAGGAGTCTCTTGGTTTAAAGTTTCCTATACACCTTATTGCCCTTTTCTGTAAAATTAGTAGACCTTTTGAATAAAGTTGAACTGCATGCTCCCCAAAACGGTATTCCGTAGCGTAAGTGAGAATCTATGAGTGCATAGTACGCCATCTTTGCAGTGCTGTACCCCAATTCTTTATAAATCACTCTAACCGCATAACAGCCAGAGGAGACTTTTCTAGTGAGTTGTTTAACATGATCCACAAATTTTAAATTCTAATCAATGAAGACTCCGAGAAATTTAGTGTTATTTATAGATTCCAGTGATCTGTCTTCAAAAAAAAGTTCGTCGATTGAGCATCTAAATGATAATAAATCTGTTTTAGTTAAGTTTAAAGATAAAATGTTTGAATCACACCAATCTTTAACTTTTTTCAAGTCGGCAGAGATTATTTTGTGCAACTCCCAAGTGTTTTTATTATTCCAAAGTATGGTAGTGTCATCTGCAAATAAGGTGAACTTCCCAGAAATATTAAGCTTGGTGAGACCATTAATATATAATAAGAAAAGAATGGGACCTAACACAGAACCTTGTGGAACTCTAGAATTAATTTCACTTTTTTTTTGAAAGTTGAGATGTTTTGACCATTTGCGTTTGTCCCGTTAAGTAGGAATCGAACCATTTGTGAGTTACTCCTCTGCATCCATAACGTTGGAGCTTTCTCAGCAGTATTTTGTGATCAACGCAGTCTAATGCCTTTGACAGGTCACAAAATACTGCAGCAGTCTTTTCACCGACATTTATCTCAGAATAAACTTCATTCAGAAATGAGAAAATAACATTGTACGTATTTTTATTATTCTGGAAGCCGAATTGATTTTCACTGATGATGTTATGCTTATTTATGAATCCAAGTAGTTGTTTTTTAACTAGTTTTTCAGTGATTTTTGCGATGGTTGGTACGAGAGATATGAGAGACATCTTGGTCAAGTGTTAGTAATTCAGTTGTATATTAAATATATTGATTACCTTAAAATCAATTGGATTACTAACCAAATGTAATACAGTAATCGTAGGAGTGGAATTTTCTAGGATGTTCTACTTTTGTTTATTTTGTGATTATAAATATTGAAAAGATAGCTTATAATTTTGTGAGTTAAATTTTGATGAGGGAATAGTCAATTAATTATTCAGCAGTACTGACTGGGATTTGAAAAATCCAAAAGTTGAATGCGAATCATCTTTGAATCTGTTGAAATCTGTTAAAATCTATTTTTCCGTTAACCAGCTGTCAAAAGTAGATACATTTTCTATGAGTGCACATATGGAATGAAGTTACAACTAATTATGTCCTGTTTGGTTTTGAATTCCTTATCAATTCGTTTCTCAAATAGTGGCATGTTTGCATTATGTTAGGTCTGTTTATAATGTTTTGACTGTTGACATATCTTTCTGATTGAAGAAAGTTCATGGAACTTATTGAATTACAGTCAGATACCAAAAATATTTGAGATAAAGGAACTAATTGAATGTAAACAAACTGGAATAAGGACTAGGTACTATTTATATATGCTGCAAAGTTCAAATTCAGTTGATATTGGATTTTTGAAAAGTATATGAGCCAGGCTGAATATTATTGTATTTTTGTTTCTATGAAGACAACTATATATATGTATAGCATATTTGAATAATTTTCTATATAATTAATGTTGGTACTTATGAATATTTAATTTCAATAGACCTGGTTAGCACTTATATCCTGAAAAGTTGCTAGAATACAAAATGAACCAAAAAGTATTTTTTAAGTATCACGAGCATAAGGTGTACTTTCTAAAATAATTGTGTAATATACTGCCGACCTCCTGGATAACTCAAAATTAATTCATGAATTGATTCTTTCAAACAAATAGCTATTTAGAAATCTTTTCAAGAAAACTGTTTTAAAACAGAAACACTTTGATGGATGAAAACACATTAATAGAGTCATGACAAATTTACTTCAAACATGGAGCTGTAATAAGTAAGACTCGTTAACTTATCTGATATGATCTCTATAACATTTTTGAGCCTTCAAATGGTGGAGGAAGGTTCTTTCATTTCATATGATCGAGGAAGGTTCTTTCATTTGATATACATCTCCTCTGTAGACTCGCTCCTGAACTAAATTTACAGGGAGGTCAGTTAGAGTCGTAAACTCGACATCCATCTCCTCTGTAGACTCTCTCCTGGATTAAATTTTACAGAAAGATCAGTTGGAGTCGTAAATTCGACATCCATCTCCTCTGTAGACTCGCTTCTGATCTAAGTTTACAGGAAGGTCCTCAGGGCTAGTACTAGAGTGTCACCAAGATTTAGCCAAAGCCTCAGTAGATAATAACATTATCCTGAAGTGGGTTAAACGGCACGACATGAGTAAAGGTAATCGCATTGCAGAATCTTTAGCCAAGGAAGCGGCTGGACTAAGAATTTTGAAACCCAGTGGCACCTACGGCCTGATGACTTCGACAATTGCGGAATTAACCAAATGTTACACCCATGCTCAATCCCTGAGGAGATGGGATGGAATCAAAGGATGCAATCTTGCCAGGATCGACTTGGGCGACCCTGAGAAGCTGGCGCCGAAGAAATATCTGGCGATGACCAGGAAAAATTTACGCTTAACAATAGGATTTCTGACTGGCCACTGTCAACTAAGGAAACACCTCCATAATATGGGGCTAGTGGACACACCTCTATGTAGGATGTGTGAACAGGAAGATGAGACTGTCAGGCATGTCCTATGCGAGTGCCCCGAGTTATCGTCAATAAGAGAGTGTGTGTTCGGCGAGTCTTGGCCTATACTTGCCGATATAAAGGAGATGTCTCCAAGATACCTGTCCACCTTCCTGGAAAGGACATGATGGACGATGACCAAGGAGAACAACTCCTCGGGATGATGTACAATGGGTCACATGTGGCCTAAGTGCTGAAAGTCCGAATCTTTTTCACAAACAAATGAAGAAAGTAACTTCGAAAAATCAAAAAACATGTAAAAAAATGGAAGTGAGTGGGTGAGAGTTCATATTTAGAAAAAAAAGCATAAAATTGGAAACTGAGCAACTTTTCTTTGGATTCTTAAAAATTTTCGAGAAAAATCTGATNCAAATCCTAGGAAAATACTTTGACTTTTCTTTAGTTTCCATTTCGAAGTGAAGTGTGACCTCCTTCTGTTGACAGATTAATCTGAAATTTGAAACACACATTTAGTTATGATGACAATACAATATACTGAATTGTGTATCATCGTCAATCCAAGATGGCCGCAGCTACAAAATGGCGCAAATATATTTTCCACAACTACCTCAATATGGACATCAAATGATAGGGCTTGATTAGTAGAATAGTAGTACCCCAGGTCTAGTACTAGAGTGCCACCAAGATTTAGCCAAAGCCTCGATAGATAATAACATTATCCTGAGGTGGATTAAAGGGCACGGCAGGAGTGAAGTTATTCGCATTGCCGACTCTTTAGCCAAGGAAGCGGCTGGACTAAGAATTTTAGGACCCAGTGGCACTTACGGCCTGATGCCTTTGACATTAAGGAACTAGCCAAATGATCACCCTGTGCGACCCTGAGAAACTGGGGCCGAAGAAATATCTGGCGATGACCAAGAAAAACCTTTGCTTAACAGTAGGACTTCTGACTAGCCACTGTCAACTAAGGAAACACCTCCATAATATGGGGCTAGTGGACACACCTCTATGCAGGATATGTGAATATGAAGATGAAACTGTCAGGCATGTCCTATGCGAGTGTCCGTCAATAAGAGAGTGTGTGTTCGGCGAGTCTTGGCCTACACCTGCCGATATAAAGGAGATGTCTTACAGTGACCCGTCCACATTCCTGGAAAGGATAGGATGGACGATGACCTAGGACTAGCAGGACAACTCCTCGGGAGGATGTACAATGGGTCACATGTGGCCTAAGTGCTGTGGGCCTACACTCACCTTCCCTACTCTACAGATACAGACATACATCTTTTTTTTTTCAATAAAACCGTTTAACATAAAAAAATCACTTAATTTATTTTCCGTTTCTATACCACGAATAGGTGAGCTACCGATTAACTGCATATTATTAACAGTGGGCAAAGTCTTTGCGTACTTGTCGTAATGATATTGTTACGTTTTTCTCCGTGGGTTGACCAATAATTGACTACACTGAATAATCATATTTAACTTTATTTCACTTTAAATATAACAAACACTTCAACTAAACTTCAACTAGATCGCTTCGCGTACCGCACTGTAGCTTCCACTTGACTGTGTCGATATGCTCGAGGCCAGCGTTCATATATCGTAATCGAATGCAGTAAAAATTTCGCCGAAGTTCTATCGAAATCGGTAGCATTATTCGCGCTGCTTCTAGAGCGACACGGAACATCGTATATTCGCGCGCTCTTAGCTACGTCACGATTGGTTTATGGCTGCCAGAGGCGGCCGGCGTTATTTTCTTTAGGGCATGATTTATAACAATATATTTGTTTCTGTTGGTTTTCATTTAGTTTTCATAAATTCTTTTTTTTTGAGTCTCGATCGGATTTAGTAACTTTTATTGACAGCTGGAATAGCCCTTTCAACCAAGTTATTTGATCGTAATTGTTTTGGATTAGATGTTATGTGTTGAAAA